AAGTGGTAACATTACGAGAATAAAGTTGTAATATATGAGAATAAAGTTGTAATACGAGAATAAAGTGGTAACATTACGAGAATAAAGTTGTAATATATGAGAATAAAGTTGTAATACGAGAATAAAGTGGTAACATTATGAGAATAAAGTCATAAAATTAAGAGAGACAAGTAACATTACAAGAATAAAGTCGTAAAATTAAGACAGTAGAGTAACATTACGAGAATAAAGTAACATTACGAGAATAAAGTGCTAACATTACAAGATAAAGTGCTAACATTACGAGAATAAAGTTGTAATATTACGAGAATAAAGTTGTAACATTACGAGAATAAAGTCATAAAATTAAGAAAGAAAAGTAACATTACGAGAATAAAGTCGTAAAATTATGAGAATAAAGTAAAATTATGACAGTAAAGTAACATTACAAGATTAAAGTAACATTATGAGAATAAAGTGCTAACATTACAAGATAAAGTGCTAACACTACAAGAATAAAGTTGTAACATTACAAGAATAAAGTCGTAAAATTATGAGAATAAAGTCGTAAAATTATGAGAGTAAAGTAACATTATGAGAATAAAGGCATAACATTACGAGAATAAAATCGTACATTACGAGAATGAAGTCATCATACAACAACCCATTTCAGAAAGAAAGCTTTGAGCTTTGACCAGCTCCACCAATCAGCAAACAGGAGTCACCTTTGACCTACTGCCCAATTTGATGCTAGTGTGCTAAAAGATTTTCTTATTTGTCAAACCAGAGCCAAAGTATAACTTAATGCTCAACATTCCTCATTTTAGGGAAGAAAGTGCTTCTTGTAGTTGTCAAAAAATACAACTTTTTCCTTGTAATTTTATGACTTTCAGGTTGTGAATTTGTTTTTCGTAATTTTACGACTTTTTTCTCTTAATTTTACGACTTTATTCTCGTAGTTTTATGACGATATAGAAGAAAGAAAAAAAATTCTAGCCTGACCGTAATGGTGAAACAGCCTCAGTCTCACATGTGTAATATATTTTTTAAAAGTAAATCCGAATAGTGTTAGAAGATCTCTGCGTTTTTGTTAGCGCTCCCTCTAGTGGACAAAGCCCTCCATAGATTCCACATCTAGAGAGGATTTTCTAACTTGCATAAGTTGGGATTTTCAGAAAATATATAAA